AAAAACTCGTTAAACTCACCCCACCCCACCCCAACCCAACCCACCCCAACCCAACCACAACCACAGACGACTCACCACACGCCGAACGCGTCCATGGCGTTCCGGCTGAGCAGCGCCACCACATTCCGACCCGCAGTGAAAAACGCCTCCCCAGTGATGGCCGCACGCACGGTGGCGAAGCGCGTCACGAACTCCATCAGCGCCAGCAATACCGACAGACATGCAGCCACACAGGCAGCCACGATGTTGTTGCCCTGCTCCCGACGAGCCTTCTGGATGGCCTGTCGGAGGTCGCAACAGTGCGTGTGCGTGTGTGTGTGCGTGTGTATGGGGAGGGGGCCGGGGGGGGGCCGGGGGGGGAGGGGGGAGTGAGGACATGCAGCAACATGGGGGGTGAAACGAAGACGGGGTAAGGTGAAGTGGGAGGAGCGGCTCTTGAATCCTCCAAGAACGCTCCCAACAAACCCCCAAGACCCTACATCTACAAACCCTAAAACCTATTAACAGAAATCCTAAAACCCACCAAAACCCTAAAACCCTTCCGACCTGCCGAATCATAGATACCAGGGTGAGCACCGCGCTGCCCGCGCACAGCGTCCCAAGGGACGGTCCCACGGCATGACGCAGAGATGTCAGTGTACGGCCGGGGCTACGGCGGCGTACGGAATCGTCACTGAAGGAGGTTTCGGAGCCGGCGGCGGTCTGGAAGTACCACTGGGCAGTGGATCCGGCGACTGTGTACATCTTGATTTGAAAGGCCAGGAACAGGCTCCAGGTCATGGCAATGCCGGCGAAGGCGAAGTACACCGGAACCCATGACTCGGTCTGCACATCCAGGAGGAGGGTATTATTATTATTATTATTATTATTATTATTTAATAATAATAATTAATATTATTATTATCATCATCATTATTATTATCATCATCATTATTATTATTATCTTCTGAAAGGAAATTCAAAATAGGAAATTCAAAAAAGGATAACTTCAAAAAAGGGAAATTCGAAGCTTGAGGAAATCTCAGACATGTAAATGTTGAAGTACTTGTTATGTTTTTGAAGGTTAGGTATTTATGAGTCGTGTATTATCTGTATTACTATTAGACAGCAAAAAATGTAGATCTCTTTCTGTGCTCCACAGCCACACACACACACACACACACACACGCTCCCCAAACCCCCGGTATGCTTCACCTGCCACACGCAGCACGGCACGCTCTCGCCGGCACCGTCCACGCACTGCTCTTCCGCAGTCTTAGCGAGGAGGGCTGAGCCGCCATCCACGCGATCCGGGTTGTACACCAGTGTGCCGTTCATAGCCGCCGCAATAACCGCCAACACCAAGGGCAGCTCCATAAGGCCCACCAGAACCAGCTGGAGGGCTAGTGCCAAGGGCACCAGGCCCGGGTTTGCGGACAGGCCGCGACCAGCCATCCCCAACAAGCGAGTCACCAAATCGATCTGCACGTTGAGTTACAAAGGTTTTACTTTGAATTTAAGGAAAAGGAAAGGTGCATGGAAAAAGGATGCCGAACACGCGAAGCCGTCCATGAAAATGTAAATGACCGGCAGCAGCAACAAAGCGCTTGCCAGCGGAATTAAAAGGACCATGTCGAAATGGTAATTAACAAACGTATACGTATATAAACACAAAAAAAACTTTAAAAGAGGAGGATTTGAAATGCAGATCACGACATTCCGTTAACCCTTCAAATTTTCTGTTCTCGTCTTTTGTTAGACATGCTGCTAGAATATCTCTGCTCACTCGATATTTTTTCGCTCGATATTTTTTCTCTGTTCCGATTCCTCTGTTCACCGTTGATATCCCCTTACTTTACCTGGCTGCCTGCGTTGATGTGGGTCTCTCTCATATGATGTGGGCCCTGCCCCTCTCCCTGCCAATACACACCTCAGCGAGACACCACCACCTCACTCGCCAGTCGCAATCCTAATCGCGCATCAGTACCTTTTCGTAAAACAAATGCACACATGCGCACACATCCACATGCACATGCACACACACTCTCTCCACGCCCGCGCGCGTGTGTCTGCACGTGCATACACAGACACACCCACACACGCGCCCACACCCTTCCCCCTGTTTCCCCGTACTGCCGCACGCACCTGCTGCCGCCACAGCCAAAAGACCAGCACCACCAGCCCGGACAGTCCGAGCAGCAAAACCCCCACGGGCCACATGCCCTGGGTCAGAGCCATAATGCCCAGGGCAGCGGGAATGGCCACCTGTGGGAGGACGAGGGGTGGGGTGGGGGATGAGATGGGGGAGAAGATCCTAGGGCAAAGAAGAAACGGCAATTGTGCCATTCACTAGGCCAGTTTTATTTAGCTGGGTAGCCAATTTGCAAATTGGATTATGCACTAGTTTGCTTTGCAAAGTAGTTATTAAATATGTGTGGGTGCGTGTGTGGGTATGGGTTTGTTGCATCGCCTCCTAGAGTTGCGTTATGCCCTCCAAAGGTGTAACCTGGGGGGGGTGGCCCGTACATACATACATACCTGGAGCCATGAGGGAGGTGGTGGTGGTGGGGGGTACCACCCAACCTAGGGCCCTGAGGGGCCCGAGAAGGCTGTGTGTCCGTAATATAGGTAACAAACCTCTGCAGAAGAATAGCTACGGAGAAGGAGGAGAAGGAGGAGAAGGAGAAAGAGGAGGGTGAGAGACATCGCTGTGCCTGATGCTGCAAGCTTGGCCTTGCGTGTCTCATGCGACGGAATTCGAAAAAACGTAGTGCTTTCGTACTTCCAAGGTATATTTCTAGTTATTGCCAGCAGGGGCCTTATTACCTTCAGGGCCAGTGCCATCCACACGAGGACCGCGGGACTGGTCCGAACCAGCCAGACGAACAGGAGGCCCACGAGGATTGCACCTGTAGACGTGCAGACGCGGCAATAACAAAGGCAAATATGTATGAAGTATACATGAAATATGTATGTGTATAAAACATGTATGAAATATGCGTATGCGTATGCGTATATGCGTATGTGTGTGCGCGTGTGTATATGTTTCCAAAGGTAAGCGGGGCGGAAGAATGGCGAGCTCAACGCCTTGCCACCTGGGCTCACCTCCCACACTTGCGCCCAACCAGGCCAAGACTGCACGCATGATAAGGTCCAGGTCAGCTGGCGAAGGCGCATCGGGGCCCTGCTGCAGCAGACGCCGCGCGGAATGAGTGGTGGCAGTAATGGGGCACAGTGCAGGGTCGCTGACGCCGTGAGAGGTGAGCTCGGCGTAGCGGGTGTTCCTGAAGGCAAGCCATCACGACAGCGGCAAAAGCCGGCAGCAGGGGGAATGGAAGTTGGCGAACAAGATGGGATACGGCGCAACAAATTATGACTAAGATGAATCTCGTGTGCAGGTTTCTGACTGATCATGGACTGATGCCACTTGCGCTATGATAGACGCCAAACCGGACTTGGCCGCTCCGCGGATTGCAGCAAAAAACAATTACCGCAGCCAAGCACGGGTTGTGGGATGAGGTGTCAAAGAAGAAAGTCAGGACCGGTAATTCTAGTTGTCTGCCACTAAAAAGGTGGTCACACTTCGAGATGTTCCGAAAAGATGTTCAGAACCACCCCTGACTTCTGCACTGTCATAAAAACGATGATTTGTTAGGACAAGTTATCGAGCTGCCAGCCTTTTGTTGGAATCCCGGAACCAAGAAGCTCCCGGAAGCAGTTGAGCGGGCTGAGCGAGACCAGACCAGCACAACACACCTTTGCACTAAATATTATTACCTATGCAAAAAGGAGAAAACGCCTCCTGCCAACGCCCCCAAAAGCACTATGAGGTAGGCGAACAGCCATTGCACATCCCGGCGCGGCCGATTCCTCATCTCGAATAAATTGGAGCCATTACTCAGGAGAGGCTCCTCTGGGCCAGGAGGTCCGGTTCCAGTCCGCCGCCCAGCCACGTCGTCCGGGGGGCTTCCAATGGCCATGTCTTTGTACACTATATGTACGTGCTATATTTGGAATTTGGCAAGTCTTAAGCATCCAAGTAGGAATTACAGCAGCACACTATACTTGTCTTATTGAAGGAAGCACATATGTTCGGGTCGGTTCCTAACGCTGCTGCCGTACGGATTGGATGGCCATTGTCGTTTGTCCGGAGCCAAGCGGATCCTATAATACTTCGCCCATAATAAATTCCATGGCACAGCTTGCCTTGATTCGGCCAGGTAGCGTCTAGCTATGTATGATGTGGTTACAGGGTGGTACAGCCTCACCAGCGGCCCCTTTTTCCCGAGGCACTTCCCTGCTCTCCCCTGCGAATGGGGCACCCTAATCCATTCACCCCATCCGACTAGAGAATGCATTCGTTAGGTTCAGCAACTCACCACCAACACACAACCAAATCTAAAGGATAAACGGTTCCACAACTTAGTTCACGGTCAGCTTGCAAGGTTGATATAATTACGTCCTGCACCGTCCGCAAGATGGGGAGCCATCTTCCATGTCAACACCCCTCACACACTGAGGGGTCGGCAGGCGGACTTGAACCCGGAGCCTCCGGGAGCCGACGTCAGGCCTTAACTTCTGCCAGCCACCTGCCTTGCTATGTACGTTGTCGAGCTGATTTCACATGCTAAACTACATAACAGCTGCGTGACCTGTCCTTCAGTGCCAAACAAAACGGTACTTCACCAATTAGGGGTACTTCCTCCTCCCGGTTCAGAGATCGAGTCTCAGTTTGGCCTCGCCTAAAGCACCGCACTCATTCGGATAGGGCCCCCTTGATGTGGCACATGTCGCGGGTGGGGGAGGGACTGCAGCAGGAAACAGCAGGGGAAGGACTGCAAGGTACGGTATAAGCAAAATATATGATAGCAAAATGCTGTGAGAGCACATCTGGAAAAACGAGCAAAAAGGAAAGTGGTGCGCAGTGCTGAGGCATGTTGGAAAATGAGCTATGAACCAATGCCCACCTCCCATCTTTGGGCGCGGTGGGGAGACCAAATGTGTGTGTGGTTGTTACAGCGGGCTCCAGACTCACGAAGAATAGAGCCAGCGGGCCAGCGGGCCGTGCATCACTGCATTAGAGACTAATAAAACAAACTAGACTGCCACCCAGATGAGACAACACAAGTCAATTAGACAGCCAAAACCGCGACATAAGGGAAGGGTCAGGACTCATAAGTCCTCCAATTAAGAGAATACAAAAATAGGCGATAGCCAATCGTCCATTGGTGACCGCTCCCGTGAGCATAACAATTTGCCTGACAAGAAGGGGTGATGTGTAAGAGGGGTCACCTCCCCTTGAGTACTCTTTGCCTGGTGTTACGTTGATGCAAATTGCTAGAAGGTGGAAACACCCGGAACGAATCCGGTTATGAACACATGACACATCAAATAAGATGCAGCCTACTCCTACTCCAAAGGTGGATGCCCGGATGGGCGAGAAGTCTGCCAGCTGAGTAAAATTAAAGTCCCCCCCATTTCGACGGGGACTGACGAAATGTCACAATTATCAACAAACTTATAATCATTTTTGGTTGTTTGCAATCCTACGGGGTCTCAAACAACCAAAAATCCTACGGGATTTGCCTGGGGGTGCCCGAGGACGTTCACTCGAGGGGGGGAGGAATGTAAGAGGGATCAGCTCCCCTGGCATCTCCCTGAGTAATCTTTGCCTGGTGTTACAAGATGTGCCCCAACAGAATTCCAACCTTTCCGTGGAACTCCCAGATCTGCGAAACCTCGAAGGCGGCCCCAAAAGTCAACAACAACTCGACGAATGGCGCCTTCTATAAGGCAAGTGTAGCAAGCTACATTTACCTTAGAATATCTTTAAGCTATTAAAGCTTAATCACAGTAACGGTACGGTCCCGTATTTACGAACCATACTCGTTAACTGTACGAACTCACTTTCTGGTACGCTATCACAACCTAGCGTACGACACCAAGACTCCAGGAATGGAGATGGCGGCAGGTGGGCCGCATTTAAGCGACCCAGGTGAAGTGCTTCGGCCAGACACTTATCGTATCATTATACTAGTGTTCAGGGTTCAAGACCTTGCTGTCACCGTTATCAACGTATGTCTTCGAATCCCGACTTCCCTTGTCTCTTTTCGCGCCTAACGCTGGGTCGCCAATCGTGGACGAGACCTCCCTCTTCCGCAAATAAAACAGCTAAGGTAAGAGACGGCTGTTACAGCAAGGGCCAGGTAACAGTGTTGGGTTGGTTTTCATGGTTGCAGCCATATAACGTCTCCCATGCCCCATGGCTGACACTGCAGCAAGAGCCACAACATCCCAAACACATTGGTCTAGCAGGGGTCTAGCAGGGGGGTTGAGGAGCCAGGCTGTGTGTGTTTGTGTGCTCGTGTGTTTGCCCTCTCCCCAGGAATTGGGGCCCGTCAAAGTGAGGGGATGGGTTCTGTGCTGTCTGGGTTCAGAGTAGAGAAGACATAAGTGGCTTGTGAGTTTGGAGAGGAGGTGGGAAAGCGGTGGAGAAGAGTGGTGTGGAGGTGGAGAACAGGTGTTGCTGGTCCAGGCCGGTCAGGGTCAGGAGGGGAGGGATTTCGGTGTGGTAAGCGGGAGCAGGCAGTGTCTGTGAGCCGTGCCTTTTCCGGGCTTTGTAGGGGGCGCCGTGCTGGCTTGTCATCCCCCCCGTGGCAATAGGTGCTTTTGCTGTGTCTTGCGCTGGGTTGCACCCAGGAGCCCGCAACCCCCAGGAGGAGACTGACCTGCGGACCAGTTTTTTGCCTCGTTTGTGGGTGGACCGGCGAGGTAGTGGTGGCCACCCTCGGGAAGTGTTCATTGTTCGTTGCTTGTGGTAGTTGAACAGCTGGCCTTCAAGGACCAGTGTGCGAGTACTCGCTTTGTCTTTATCTTCTTTGTGCAATTTCCGTATCTCGGCTTTTGTGGTGTGTCATCTCAGGCCCGTGGTCCTCAGTGTATCCCTTGCCTTGCTGGCTGCATGGGGCCCTGGTTTTGGAGAGTCTTCTGAGGGGCCGTACCTGACATGGGTAGGTCTTCCCTTGCCTCGGTTTTTGAGTGTGTACTGGAGCCCCCTGAGTAGAGCCCCTGCCCCCGGTGGTGTTTTCTCTTTGTTTTTGTTTGGGTGGTCAAGAGGGACAAGAGTGCACGAATAGGCAGGCTAGGCTCTCGCTTAGTTCGGTTCGCAGTCTACTGTGCCGCTGTGTTGCCTAGCCAGGGGCTGGGAGAGCGTCCCTGTTGGCATGAGTGAGGGAATGAGGTGCGCACGGAGGAACAGACGGACGTAGAGCCGCGCGCCCATCCCTGCGCTGTGTTTTGGCCCGGTCAGGGCCCCCGGTGCTCATCCTTTCTCGGGTGAGCCCCCCACAGTGTAACAACCCATCAACATTGTTGCACTGTTTGTGGAGCTTGGACAAGCCAAAGTTGTTCCCATACGGCTGGCAATCCTATGGACAGAGTGAGTTGATCTGCTACTGCCTGTGCCACCGGACAGGCCCAGAAGTGATGACAACGAGGGGATACAACTCCCAGGGAATGAACTGGGTAAACTCCACAACCATACACTGCTGAGCGCGACATCCTGAGATGGGAACTTCCTAACGTAGGCACCCCATCAACATTGCTGTTCTGGCTGCTATAATGCGATCCGACTTCCTAAAGTTACACAAAGTCGCCCATCAAAGAACGACGAGTCCTGGACCACGATTTTTTTAAAACAAGGTAAGAAGTGTGCATCCATCTAAAAGATGGGATTGTCTACCGAGTCTGACATCCAAGATACCCAAAGTAGCCGTATTAAGCCGTAATGTAACGGTAATGTATATGATATATCACATCGGAGTCCATTTAACAAGTGAATTAAACATAATCCATGGCTATAAGCTCTTGTATTGATTACGGTCAACAGCAAGGGAACTGACGTCAAGGTCATCGTATGGCCGCTTTGTATCGTCAATGTACATGACATCAGAGGTTGCGTGCGGGAGATGGCTAAGGGTGCATTTCCGGTGCGGATTAAGGCCAGGGATTAGGGCACGGAAGTCATTGGTACGAGCTTACCACATAGTTTTGTTCCATAAGGGTGTATTTCCAGTGCGGATTAAGGCCAGGGATTAGGGCACGGAAGTCCTTGGTAGGAGCTTACCACATAGTTTCGTTCCATAAGGGAACCAAAGGTTAGAAAGGCGAGGTAAGTTTGCCAACAACTTAGCCGTTTGAGCAAGTATCGATGGACGACAGAGGGTTAATCCCCGACGTTAATCCGCACTGGAAATACACCCTAAGGGAACCAAAGGTTGAAAAGGCGAGGTAAGTTTGCCAACAACTTAGCCTTTTGAGCAAGTATCGATTGAGGACATAGGGTTAATCCCTGGCCTTAATCCGCAGTGGAAATACACCCTAAGCTCATTTGCACAAACTCACAAGGGGGGCCCATTTTATTTAAAAATAGTCACACTATTACTGTTTAATTCACTTGTTAAATGGACTATACGATATATCATATACATTACCATTACATTACGGCTTAATACGGCTACTTTGTGTATCTTGGATCTCAGACTCGGTCAACATATCCCATCTTTTAGGTGGATGCACACTTTTTACCTTGTTTTAAAGATCGTGGTCCAGGACTCGTCGTTCTTTGGTGGGCCACTTCAGGAAGTCGGATCGCATTATAGCAGCCAGAACAGCAATGTTGTTGATGTTGTTACAGGGTGGTTAAGCTTCACCAGTGGCCTCCTTCCCGAGGCAATTCCCTGCTCTCCCCTGCCAGAGGGGCACCCTAAGCCATTCACCCCATCCGACTTCAGAGTGTACTCTTTGAGTTTGGCAACTCACCACCAGCATCCAACCAAATCTAGCGGATCAACGGCGCCTCAACTTAGTTCCTGGTCAGCTCGCAAGTTGATTTTATCACGTCCTACACCGTCCACAAGATGGGGGGCCACCTCCCATTTCACCACCTCTCAAACACCCGTTGTTGATGATGCTGTTGTTACAGGGTGGTATAGCTTCACCAGTGGCCTCCTTCCCGAGGCAATTCCCTGCTCTCCCCTGCTCCCCTTCACCCCATCCGACTTCAGAATGTATTCGCTGGGTTTGGCAACTCACCACCAGCATCCAACCAACTCTAGCGGATCAACGGCGCATCAGCTTAGTTCCCGGTCAGCTCGCAAGTTTATTTTATCTCGACCTACACCGTCGATAAGATGGGGGGCCACATCCCATCTCAACACTCCTTAAACACCCGAGGATTCGGCAGACGGATTTGAACCCGGATGCTCCGGGAGTAGAAGTCAGGCCTTTACCTGTACCAGCCGCCTACTGTTTGTAAACCAGAAAACTCCGTCGCCCTCCATAAGGTAGCCATTTACCAAGATTTTTCTTCCTGCTGAAAATGACTAGTGGCTCATAAACAGCATCTCAGTGACACTCCGGCATTTTCTCGGCTTCCTTTCCGGCTTCCTTTTCAGCAACGACCGCCGAGAAGGGGCCGTCCTTTCTGGCCATCAGAGCATCAAAAGTCATTTTGGCATTGGGGTTGTCATTAATATACTTTTACTACATCATCAACTTTTTTAGGAATAGTCGCACTGTTACTGTTTAATTCACTTTCAGAATTGGAGTCGCTTGCATTTCCACCCCATAGACGCACACCGGGCACACGAAAAAGGACAAAACGCATCCGGTGTATAAAGTAAGAAGCGACACGATCTTTTCAGGAAATGTGTCGCTGCAGGAAGCCTCTTTGCAACAGGACCGCACCTCCCGTATCAAACAGGGCCGTGCCCCCCGTATCACAACAGGACTGTACCTCCTGTACAAAACAGGACCGTACCTTCCGTATTACGACAGGACCGTACCAGAACCACACAGCACGAAGTCGCCGCATGGAGCCAGAAACAGAATCGCACGCACGAACGAAACATCAAACACCTGTTACCCAGCCCACAGTGTCACAATCCACGGGTCCACGGAAGGCGAGGACACGGCGCTATGGGAGCAAGAGAGCGCAGGGCAACGTGAATCCCTTCAGCTGGACAAATCTCATGGCGACGCATTGGTCACCTTGCTTATCCATGAGTAAATTCGGCATTTGCACGTCCTACCAGTGCTAGCTCGGGTGTGCATCATAATTTTCTTCGTAGTTCAGCAAAAGAAAAGCATTAACGTAAAAGCTTCCGCATAGGCGCGACCTTGATTTCAGGACCCATGTTCTTTCCGTGCTTGCCTCCTCGAAAACCGATTGTGGATTGCACGAAAGGGCTTCTCCACAAGACTGATAACATGAATGTTTGAGAAATATATTTTTAAATCTGAACAAAAGCTGTGGCCCCAAGCGCTAGAGGCCTCAGTCAGGGACTGACGGTTGATTATCTTACGATTTTCAACATAGGTTGAAAATATGCACTACAGACTGCCAAAGTAACAGATTTTATTTATTCTCATTATTGTGTAAGGTAATTGAACCAGATGACATTGAGTCTTCCTAATCTGGGTCAGCATGCTGCTGTACAAGTTATATTTACAAGCCCCACGCAGTTGACTCTTCCAAACATCAATAAATCAGTATATTAGAGAGTGTATCTTTCAATTTTAAATATGTGCACTTTATACCTGCATGCCCATGGCAAATGCTTCGTTTTGCGCGGGAACAGCATGACTAACCCATCATGCCCGTACACTCGAAGCCCTTTGCAGCGTACAAATTAGCCGGAACATTCATAATTATCATCAAGTTCTGTAAATCTTTTGTTGTATTATTTTGGCTCAGAAGCTCTAGTTTCTTAGAACCTTATCGTTCATCACAACCCAGGAGTTGGCACACCTCCTGCCAGGTTCTTCGAATAAGCGTTCATGTATCATAACTAATGGGGTTAACGTATGGAAGCTCTTAGTGATGCTCTTCCTTGCCTCGCACTTTCGCTGCGATGCCACAGTAAGTCGTCGTTAAGCCTCGGAGCAAATTCGCCTCGGCGGGAACTCTCCTGACTTCAAAAACGTATTGATTTGACGCCTTGTCCTAACGGGTCCAATCATCATTCGTGTGCATTGCCCTCGCGTGGAAGATCGCAGGTGGCCGGCGGTTGATGCAAAATCCTGACTTGCCTTGGCAGCGTTTTGCCACAGTAAGCCCCAAAACTTGGATTGGTGTCTTGGGGATCGCTTCATTCCGCGCTTTGCAGTCCTGTCCAGGGCGGCCTCGCGCCCTCAACTATGACTTTGACTCTTGACCACTCTCTGCGTCGCGCAGGCAACCTCGTCATGGTAACAGGGGCACGAGCGGCAACGTTCACTCCCAGCAATCAAACGATCAGGTTCAGGCTCTTAGGATCAGGCCCAAGGCCAAAGGCAAGGCGACCAACAGAAATAGATTTTTACGATGCTGTCAGACCTCACAAGCAACAGCGACACCTCATCATGCGGTGATAACAGCAGCTCAAGAGCAGAAGCCCTCGCGCCCATGGTTGTCTTCTCTAGCGGCCAGGATGGAGCTGGGCAGTGGGTGTCCAAATGCAACACTCCAGGCCCCCCCTTAACGCCATAGTTATTCAACATCAGGTGCGTAACTGCGCGGCGATTTCGCCATTCCGTCAACTGGGAAGTATTCATCTGATTTCCAATCGGATTGCTATGTTGCCACGCTTTGATTGTATGGCACCACCTGTTGTGTCGCAAACTTGCTCGCTGGATAGTGAAATCGCTTACTCCATTTTCGCAAATCGCTAAGGTTTTTTCAACTCCCGACGGTTATGTAGCGTTACCTGGTTCTGGTTGTAAATGCGCACGTTTTCAGCCTCGTTTGAGGTTTTTACTTGCTCATTTTACACTGGCGCGCGTGCACCTGCGTGCAGAGTTTTGGGCGTACCAAGGCAACGCAGAGATTCCCGACGTTGTTCTTATGGCGTGGCAGCGCCGCATGCCGCCGAGCTCCCCTCAGCTTTTTGAAAGTTGTGGAGGAGCGCAGCTTGGATTGGGCCAAGTTCTCGGTTGGTCTGTACCACCTCAACAGTGGATCAAAACAAGGCATGCGATGGGTTCTTCGCGACTGGAGTGATGCAGCAGTTGTCGCATGACGGAGGAGCTGCAGCAGCAGCGACGTGCGCCGGCGGGGAGCTCTGAGCTTTAAGTACATAAATGTACATAAATGGATGAGAATCCATTTAAGAAGTGACATGGCTTTTTTTTTTGAAGTATATGCAAGTATATGTATGAAATCAAGTTTTATGGAGCGCGGCGAGTGCGGCAGCTGGGATCCGATAGTTATGCGGGTGGGAGCTTGTGCATATGTGATGTGAATCCCTTGGGCCTTCGGCTCGTATGGGTAGTCTTACAGGTATGGGGTCACGCACCCCCAACCATGTAACACACACGCACATATGTGATGTTGTGTGAGCTTGTCAGTTGGTAGAGTTTTTTAACACACCTTTTAATCGAGCTGACCATGTCAATAGGGCGTTGCATGTGCATGGGGGAAGATATGTCGTGTGTGCCTTGCATGTATATATGTACCATACGAGATAGGTATGTCGCCAAACAGGTTGCGGATCATTTACGATTGCGCAAGATTGGGTGCCGAAAACAAGCCGAGAATTTGTTGCTGGCTGGCCTATCGCTTTTAAACACAGCGGTGGGTGGGGGGAGCTGGCATGTGCTCTATCACCTACACTAAAAATTGAATACGTAGTTTGCGGATAAAAATGATCGCGCGATTGTGTTGATGTGAATGTGATCTAAGTAATTGATGTGGAGTGGCAATGTGGGTGATGATGGTGGTGAAGAAAACTTATGTCGCGTGTATGGAAATGCATCAAGTCTTAGCGTGCGAAAACGATTATGGCTTTAGGCGGCCTAACTTAATGTCGCCGTGGCAGGGAAGATTTGCATTATCTCAGGAGAAATGCGCTGTGATAGTGGCACTCTTCGTTGTGCCGTAGCCATACGCATGTACGGAGAAGCTGGCGTGCGGCGCGGCGGGGTCGGTTGTGGCAGCAGAGCCTGCGGCAACTCCACTCCTGCTCGAGGGATACACCTTTGCTGCCACTGCTGCTGCTGATGTAGACAGTCGCACCCTTCCTTCACCTCCGGCGGTGGCGAGGCCAGGGGGATAGGGGTCGCCTGCTAGAGGAGTGTGGCGGGCGCTGTGAGGGTACATCACTGAATTCGACGACGGCCGGCGCTGGGTACTTCCCGGGGTTAGCCGCTCGTCCACTCCAACCTGTAACGGACGTGTACAGCAGGCGACGGGCGAGGAGAGCGCAAAAGGTCGTGTGCATGTACGACAAATTTGTAGTGCATGTACGGAACAGCGCCGATTCAGCCACACACGCACACGAACGCGCGCAAAGGGGTTCACAAGGGGAGTGAGGATCGTTCAAGTACCGAAGTATAAGAGGATATAGAGGTAACACAGAAGACGGCAAAAGTAGGAATGTGCTACAGCCATTTCCGCAGCCCGCCTTTCCAAACCTTCTTTTTATACGTGTGGTTTACCTGTGCAGCTCCAACGTACACAGACATTTCAACTAACCCTCCCAACCCGAACACATCCTCGCAATCCCCTACTCGCCCGCATCCAAAACCTACCCCGACACACTCAGACTCAGACGACATACTCAGACGACATACTCAGACGACACACACACCGTCCTCGAAGCCAACAGCACCCCCCATAGTCCCTTCACATGCCCAACAAAACCTCATAAGCCGCATAAGCTGCAGCCATCTCTGCTCACCTCCGGCCTCCGCGGTGGTCCTTCAAACGCCCCAGAGGCAAAGCTGTCCTCGAGCAAGCAGCTCCCGGCTCGGCTGCGGCCCCCAGTCCCCCCACTTGCCTCCTTCGTCAGCTGCTGCGCCATCACACCTGTCGATGCCACCGCTGACCGGACTGACCATGCGCCTGCCAGTTCCCTCATCTCCTCAGGTCCGCCTCCTGACGCCTTCTCCACAGCAGTTGCCCGAGCCTGTCCCGACCCCAGCCTGCCGGAGCGACCCTCCCTGGAGGATCTCAGCAGGTCCGTGACCTCAGACGCCGCCAGCCGCCCCCCTGCCGCCGCCATCCGGGACTCATCCGTCGCTAATCGCGCGTTCCTTGACGCCAACATCGCCGATTCAAGATTGCCCTGCAGCCTAGCCACCTGCGCCACCATTTGAGATGCCGTTCGCCGGGCGCCCTGTAGCTCCCGCCGCAGGCGGTTTGTTTCGGCTGTAGCTGCCTCCACGGCATGTGAGCCACCCCGAGGAGCCGCCTGCAGGTTCAGGGCGGCTTGGGTGGCGGCTCGCACTGCTAGGCTGCACAGCTGCTCGCGGATCGACTCGAGCATGTCCGCGAGGCGAGGCGAATGAGGCGACGTTGTGGCTCCAGCATCGCTGTTGCTGTGTGCCTTTTTTTGTTCCGCCTTGGCCGCTTCTGCTGTCGCTAGCGCCGCTGCAAGCTGGCGGCGAAGGTTCTCGTTCTCCTCATCGGCAGCGTTTGCTTGCTCCAGGGCTCCGCGTGCCAGCTGCTTCGCTGCCGCCAGCCGCAGATGGAGATCGTCATTGAGGGTGGCGGCCGCGGCGGCGGCGGCTGCAGCGGCAGCAGCTTCCTCGCGTGCATTAGCTAACAACTGCTCCACTGCCGCCAGCTGACGGCGCAGACCTTGAATTTCCTGCGCGGTGACATTCGATGCATCGCGCGCCGCCACCTCCGCCGCGGCTAGCCGTGCTCGCAGCGCCTCCTGTTCCCCAGCCGCTGCCAGTACTGCCCCACGCGCCGCATCCACCGCTGCTGCCATCTGCGCCTGCAGGTCCGCCTTTGCCTTAGTTGCTGCACTTGCGGTCTCTACGGCATCGCGGGCGGCCTTCACCGCCGCAGCTAGTTGTGCCTCCAGCTCTTCCTTCTCCTTAGCTGCCGCCTCTGCCGCCTCTTCCGCGGCGGTTTCTGCCGCAGCTAATTGCGCTTGTAGCTCTTTCATTTCCTCCGCTGCCACCTCCGCTGCCTCCACCAGCTGCGCCTGCAGCTTTTCCTTTTCCCGAATCGCTGCCACGACCCCCTGACGTGCTGCAATCTCAGCCAGGGCTCCCCCCAAGTACAATCTCTGCTTCTCCTTATCCCTGATCGCAGCCGCCAACTTTGTCCCCAGCCCCTCAATCTCCACAGCTGCAGCCTCTGCCGCTAGCCGTGACTCCGCCTCCGCAGCCCCTAACCGGGCTTGCAGCTCGCTTACTTGCTGTCTGGAGGCGTCCACGGCCTCACGTGCCTGTCGCCTCTCCTCCGCTAGGAGGCTTCGAAGCTCAGCGAGCTCTCGAGCTGCAGCTTCCTCTGCGACGCGCGCTTTTCGCGCCTCCTCACGCTCTGCCTCCAGCTCCATCCACAGCCTGGAAAAGCTACCGGACAGCTTGGCTCCGCGATTGACGCCGTCAGTGCCTGAGCCTATTGGAGCCTGCGCCCACGCCGGCGCCAGCGTCGGCGAGCCCTTAAGAGTCCCCTGCGGCTGCCGTACTGCTGACGAGGCAAAGGAGGTCGTTGAAGGAGCCAAGCTTGGAGATGATGCCTCGGCGGTTTTGCTAGCCGAATCGACCTGTTGCCGTACCCTGATGTCGTACATGCCGGCGCAGCAAACAACATGAGCCCCCCGGGCGGTTAGAGAGGCGCCTCGTTGCTGGGTTCGTCTTGTTCGATGTGGGTCGCTGACCTTAAAGGGTTCTCCGGTTTCGCCTTACTTAGGTAACACATTAGCACATGCGCAGATGTGCAGACACACCACCCACAACCGCTCATACAACCCTCCCACACCCACATACACACGCACGCACATGTGTATATGGGCACGTGCGGGTATACACGCGTGTGGGTATACATACAAACGCACACGTCACTGCAGCCGCTCGCTCACCCGTCCAGTGCGCGCCACGGCAACCAAGGCGTGCTGGGTTGGGGTACCTCACCGCCAGCTGCTTCACCCGTCTTTCCCTCCACACCCGTACCGGACTTGGTAGGGGTGCCCTCGTCAGCAGCAGTAGCAGCAGTAGTGGCGGCAGTAGTGGCAGCTGTAGTGTCTATGACTGCAACAGCAGTAGCAGCGATGGCAGCGACATCCCCTAGCAAGATATCATCATCCACGTCAGCGCCGTCGTCGCTTTGAATTCGTAAATTTCCTGCGGCAATGATATGTAAAAGAGAGAGACGGCGACGGCGTTTACAATAACCACCATCGCAAACACAACAAGAACAGGTCCCCAAAACATGTCCCTTATGTCCCATGTTTAAACAAGTGAACGAGAACTAATTAAACCAAGCTTACCCGTGCAGCTCCGTGCGGGGCAGGAGATTGAGGCCATGGAACCCGTTGATGGGGACGAGGTACCGCCGCTAATGATGGCGACGACGGACGATGGGGGTTCCTCTGAGGGTGTATTGTTCCTGTCAGTATCCGTATCCTGTTGGAGAGTGGAAACGGGTGAACTGTTAGGGTGATGAAGTGTCAGGCAAACGAGCAGACAGATAGACAGACAGACGGGCAGACAGACAGACAGGAGGCAGGCGGAGGGAAAAGGGTGCTCTTGCTTGTACTGCTGAGCTAGCTGGGTTTTGTATCAGATCTCAGATTGTATAATAGGAGGCGTATGGGGACCTGCGTCATGCTCGTACATATTACTGTACATCTACGCAACAGCCGTACACAACTCATGTCATTTTATTAATGCGCAAAACACACCTGCACCTACCTGCCGCGGCTCCTGAGCTTGACTGCTAGCAGAGCAGTTATGCGTTGCCGCCAGCTGCTGTTGTACTGTTGGGTTGTACGGCAGGAACGGCGTTCCAACTTCGCGGAGCGAAGTGGCGCTTCCCGAGTCATTATCGCCGCAGCTGTCACCGCTGCCGCCATTAATGTCACCGTTGTTGACCCTTATCACGTCGATGCTTTGGCTGCGTGATGATGCCCCTGAAGCTAAGTCCTTCGTGCCGGGCTCCCCCTCCGCTCCCTCCTCCTCTGCTCCCTCCTCCTCTGCTCCCTCCTCCTCTGCTCCCTCCTCCGCCATTCCAATTACGCAGCTGAGTATCACCGTCTTCACTTCACCCTTCCCCTCCATGTCCTTCCACTCGCCCGCCTCCTCGGCTTCTTCCTTCTCCTGCTCCCCCTCTTCCCCCTCTTTTTCCTCTTCCCCCTCTTTTTCCTCTTTCTCCTCTTCCTCCTCCTCGTCTTCGTCTTCCCGTTCCTCATCCTTCTCCACCCCATCGGTAACCTCCGCCTGTGCCTTCCCAGCCTCCATGTCTCCCACCTCATCCGTCACCTTATCCGTCAGGGCCCCTTCCATCCTCCCGCACTTACCTTCCCTCTCCTCGTCCTTCACCTTCACGGCATTATCCACCTCCCCCCCCACAACCTCAGCCTCAGCATCGTTCGGAAGTAAGGCCCTTTGCGCCTCCCCATTAAGGATCGCCAGCACCTCCTGCCAGAGTTCCGCAACCCGCCGCTCCTGCATCTTCGCTGTCTCCTCCTTCCTACACACCTCCTCTTCACTCTCCATGCAGTCATTGCCGTCCTCGCGAACATCCTCGTCCTTTTCCCCGTCTACCTCTACCTCTACCTCTACCTCTACCGCACCCCCCAGCTCCTCTTTAGCCCCCTCCTCCCCGTCCTCTGCATCCACCTCCATGCAGAAGTCATAGTCAAGGCCACGGTTGAAATCCAAGTACGTGTCGTGCCGGGTCTCAGGGTCGGGTCGGAGGTCATTGATGCCAAGGTAATTTTGGCTGCGGTCGGGGTTGCCTTTTAAAAGATTGGGGCTGGGAAGACTGGAGTCGGACCCGGAGTTAGGGCCCTTGTCAAGATCGAGCGTGCCTTCACCCTGGTCCTCGTCCTGAACTTCGGCCACTTGGATCGCCGTCGTCACCGCCGTTGTTGTTGTCGACGTCGCCATGCTCGCCGCGGTGGCGACGATGGGGCGGGCTGTGTCCCATGATGACTCGGACGGGCTCACAGCTTGCATTGCTGCTGCTGCGGCGGCGGCGCCGGCTGCTGCTGCTCCTACTGCTACTGCCGCTGCTGCTGCTACTCCTGCTGCTGCTGCTGTTGCTGTTGCTGCTCCTGTTCCCGCGACTTGTTGGTTGGTTTGTTCTTCCGTCTCGTTGCCGCCGCTACTGTTGCCCTGAGCGGCAGGGATGGGGTTAGGTTGGCCAGTTGGCAACCTCTTGGTAAATTTCATGGAGGATTGAAAGAACCGGCCGTACGGCTGCATGGTGACAAGGCAAATGAACGGTCGCTCTCTCAGGCACTGGGAGGTCGCCCGTTGTCATGAACTCGTCATGAAGTCCTTGCCTGCGCTCGTTAAAAAGCTTACGGAAAAGCTGTACGGCAGCAACTGCCGTTGCGGTGGCAACCCGAACAACGCGAAATCACACACAACAGATATAATATCGGCATGATTCGCACAATATCGCGTATGATTCCATCTTTTGATTTAAACACGAGCTGAAGAAAAACAACATTGCCGACACGTACATACATACAGGTATACATGTATACATGCATACATACTGACAGGCGCTCACCCACAGGGAAGAAGCCGTATAGCCCGTCACAGCGGCCAATGCCGTCCCGACAGTCAAGCAGCCGACGATGGCAGCTGTCCGCTTCAGGTTGCCCCCACGCGCTCGGTTGACGTTTGAAGGTGCCAGGATGGCGCTGACTGTGACGGGGATTTCAAAGGCGTGTGCGACGACGTAACCTTACTAAAGACGTAAAGCAACGCTACGCTGGCGTGAGGGCGTGTATGCGTGCGTGACCCCTGACGAGGCAATAGAAAGCGGCTAGGAGAACTCCTCCCTTTCGCCCGATGAGGCAGCCGTGGCAGTCCGCGGCATCACGAATCGGCGGGAGAAGCAGCCTTGCCTGTACTACCTGTATTACGGTGGTGAAAGGCGTCCATTACGAAGTCGTTGCAAAGACACGTGCTTGCAATTGCTTAACGGGACGTCGACAGCAGTGGTCGAAACAGCTGTTTCAGCTGTATCGTTTTTATGAGATCTAATGTAATGAAGAAGATTCAGTATCTTTCTGTTTGGGGCGATGCATCTGGGTGGGCTGTGAGCTTACTGAGCAGGCCTTGAGGACCGGCGGACGCTTCCGCGCACGTATCATGGCTGAGACTGTCAAGCAAGATACTTTTTATGCATCTGAATTGGATGGAGTGCTGGTAGGCTTGCTTTACCTTACTTAACTTACCTCGGCGTACTTGTCCTACGAAAAGTGCGACTGAACTTGACACGTTGCTGAGAACGGTTCATAGAAACTTAGGAAATCAACTGTAAGGAAAGAACATCGCTTGAATAAAGCAACGTTTTCATTACAAGTACCGTGAAGCACCTTCCGGTACCTACACCGCAAAATGGAAGGCAGAGAGCGGGCCTTACGATCAACCGCTGCGAAAGCCCGCAACCCTACCTGGAAGCATCGCCAACAAAAACGTCATCACATAATAAATCAAGCACGAATTATTTATTTATGACGTCTGTTTATTATTTGGATAAATCCACACCATGTGGGCTTAGAGTGTTTGTTAGTTGAAGCGTTTCCAACGTTGATTACGAAGGCATCGTTTCTGCATATACTTTTAAGGCAGACACCATCCTCTAAATTTAATCCTAATTTTTAAGGTTTTACTTATCTTCCTGCAATGCACTGCTTGCGTCTCCTCAGTTCTCAGCTTTCAAACTTCCTTCACCAGCACCGCAAACCAGTGCCAGCTGATGATCAGTTGAAATTGGAATTTACATACATCCCGTTATCAGGCGGGTTATGCATAAGCACGTACTTCGAGTAACAGGTCATCAAGGTTTCCGCCATGCTTCCCGGCCCTAGGTTTTCGGCTTTTCCCCCCCAAACCTATGAAAACATCAGCTCGCTAGAGTTACAGCAAAAGCCACAACATGTGAATCCATCCAAACCAAGTCGTATAGCCAACAAGGGCGTGTACGCGGGCTTCAGGTCGGGTACCCCAACGCCCGCCGGAGAAAGGCGAGCCGCAGCGTATCCGTTTACACAAAAAAGTACCCTTCAGAACAGCCATGCAGACGGCAACTTCAAGCATCATACCCACAACACATTATTAGATTGCTTTAATGGCCGGATGCGAAGACAGTCATGGATACCTCGCCACGGAGGTGCGCATACGGACCCCGTAAAGTTTGTATAGTTGTGTGTGGTTGCTACAGTGAACTCCAAATTCGTGAAGGGTTTATATAGGAGAAGACTCGTAAAGACTGTACAGTTGTTAACTGGAGCCCGATCGGCTCTAGTGCAACAACCTTAGTGGGTGCCAACCGCACAACCCAACTCGGGAAGATTCGCTCACCAAGCGTGGCTCTGGAGCAAAAGATGCAACAGACGTCGCCACATTCCTGCGGCTGCACAACAGCAACAACAAGCATGATGTCCGCTGGGTCAAGGGGGTAGATATCTCTACGTACGGACAGTGCAGGACTGGCAACCCCACATGGGGCTGTGGGAGCCGCCTGACAACCAACAGGACGGCCACGGTGTTATGACAGGCACCCACTCAATGGAGAGCTGGGTGATGCTGGCGGAGGCATTGGTGCGGGTGCGGCCCTTGGTGGTGGACGTGGAGACCATGGTCGGGTCTGTAGGTGTGTAGGTTGTCAGGTGGCTGCCACCGCCCCATGTAGAGCTGCCAGCCCTGCACTGTCCGCCTAGAGATACCAGCGGACAATATGCTTCTTGTTATTGCCTAGCTCCAGAGCCACGCTTGGTGAGCGAGTCCTGGATGATGGAGCTGTCCAAGCTGGTTCTGGTTCTCATCAGAGGTGCAGGAGGGCCTGCGGCACGATGCTGCAGCTGTCCACGTGGTAGTAAACATCCACCTTGGCCATGCCACTTTGAACCATCCCGCCTTGGTCAACTTTTATAGAGTTGGTTCGGCTCCCCAGCTGCCAATCCTTGGGATGATGTTCGCCACACCTTCGTGAACGGATTCCTAGCCCGCAGTGGCTGCTTCAGTTTGTATGTATGGATATCAGCTTGCCATTGCGGGTCATGTTCGAACCAGAAGCCGTCCATGGTGGAAGTGTGCCGCTCCTGCCGCATTGTGCTCCAGCATCACTTTCTTCTTACCTTATACCTTGTGGTGCAACCCAGCCACTGTTTGAGCATTGCCGATATCACCGGACTTCCTGCCTGACTTCCATCCCGTCATCATCATCGTCATCGAGTCAGCACACATACACACACACACCACCCACATACACGAACCATGCCAGTACCATCGGCAGAGGTGATGTAGGCCTGTATCGCCATCACCGACATCGGCGATACAAAATGCATCATTGCAAGCTCACCATCACCCCCAGTTGCCGAGTCACCCTCCTGATCCTATTCACCTCCCGCCCCACCTCATCCCACAATGCCACCCTCTGTAGTGCCTCCTTCCTCCTGCCTTCCCTCATAATCCCTAAAGCCCTGTTATAACCGCTCACCGTTGCGACCCGCTTCTTTCCGCCTTTCTCTCTCCTCTTCCGCTCTGCACGAATAATCCTCCTCCCTTCCCCCCGACCTCCTCCCCCACAACCGGCCAAAACTCTCCTCCCGGAGTTGGCCCTCCGGCCCACCTCGTGACACTTCCTGCCTCAACCTCCCACTTGAGAAATCCCTACCAGCCAACCCAACACCTCTACTACAGAAAAAGATTAATCAGGGTCGTCGCTCCCATCGCTGCTCCCCAAGGAGCCACACACGGCCCTGGCTAATCCCATCCATATCGTCATCGAAGCCGCCGTCCTCATCGTCACTGTTGACCTTGTTCAGGCGGACCAGGTAGAGGTCTGCCGGGGAGGCCTCCCGCCCCAGAAGTGCCCGCCAAGTGCGCTCGTCGCACACTCCACTCTCCGGGATGGAGCTGCAGCTCTGAGGAACAGGAGGTGGATGAGCAGGAAGAGGAACAGGAGGAGGAGGAGGAGAAAGAGGAACAGGAGGAGGAGGAGGAGAAAGAGTGGATCAGGTCGAGGAGGAGGTGGAGGAGAATGAAGAGGAACAGGAACATGAGAATGAGAATGAGGAGGAGGAGGAGGAGGACGGGGAATGCAGTGGGGGTTTTGAGATGTGGATGTGGATGCAGAAATAGACCAACAAACCTAGAAGGAGGGTAGGGGTAGGGGTCAGAATAAAGATGAATGATCGAGGGGCGGAAACGGAGGATATATTGTTACTTGGGCCTCAGGTGCGTCTGAGCGTCAGCTTTGTAATCTGGAGTGAAGCGGCGATAGGTGTGTGGAGGTGCCACAACACCGTTGTTAAGGTTAGGGTTCATCCACAAAACCTGTGCGAGAGAAAGAAACTAGATAAGATAAATAATAGATAGATAGATGGATGGACAGATAGATAGATAGATAGATAGATAGATAGATAGATAGATAGATAGATAGATAGATAGATAGATAGATGAATAGATAAAAAGATAAAAGGATGGACGGTCATTCTCGTGCAAGCTGCTTGAGCTCAGAGCTGTTTCGCCAGAGGCAGCAACGAGCTTGGAGTAACATGACCAAGAATAAATGCGTACAATAAAATGATGTCCCGGGTGGAAGAAAACGGTCGCACTGAGCCTTGAACGAACCAACGAACATCTAGCACCCAAACTGCCAACTGTCAACCGTGGGGGCCTTCTACTAGACCAGCCAACGAGCGACTGTATTGCGTAATCACCTGTTTACCAAACCAACCAAATCCGTCACAGCTTCAACCACCATCACCCACTAAAACCTCCAACCGTCGCAACTACCTCAGGTTTTAACCAACCTAACCTGGAAATACTTGAGTGCAGTCAAAGTGGCGTCTCCGAACTGCCACCAGCGCATGTCGTCTTCACCACAGTAGAAGCCGCTGTTGGCAAGGGCTACCTGGAGGATACCGCCGTACAATGCCGTACAATTGTGTGTGGTTATTACAGTGGGCTCCAGACTTACGAAGAGTAAAGCCAGCTGGCCAGCCAGCTGGCCGCACAATGTCAGAATGACACCCGGTAGTGCTCTGTAACGAACATCTTGCCCGCACGACACAGAGCCAGACCAGGCGGCACATGCAATACGTACACACATACAGACACACGCACCTGCATTGCATGCACCTCCCTCCCTCCATCACCGTCCATCAGCACAGGCCATTTCGTCAGGTCAGCAGGAGCAGCAGCGGCAGGGGCTGTGCTGGTGGTGGTGGTGGAAATTCTCGCTGACGACGCTGGCGATGGTTGCGACGATGCAGGTTCAGCGGTGGCGGTGGTAGCTGTGGCGACGCCGCTGTTCGACAGCGCAGCCGCCCGGGCGTACAGCTCCTCTGCCACCTCGACCCCCAGCAGGGCCGTCCACGTGGGGCGATCCACAACTCCAGTTTCCGGCAGTCGCTCAGAAGCCTGGAACGACAGGACTGCCGCGAGCGTCCCCTCACCTGAGCCCTCGTGTGCAGGTTTCCGATGGGGAGCCGCAATACCGACCAAGTCCCGACAAGGGGTGGCAGCATTAGGGTAGCAACATTAGGGTAGTAGTAGTAGTAGCAGCAGCAGCAGCAGCCGTAGCAGCACACCACAGCAGCAGCACCATCACCACCACCACACAACAAGAAACAGTAGCAGAAGCGGGCAAAAATAGCGGCAGAAATAAAAAAACGCACAGTACCAGCAGGCAAAAAAGCGGCAGTAAAACACACAGCATCTTAAACAGGACACAAAAAGACTGTCCTATCTTCTTAGTTTTCTTCACTCAAATATTGCAACAGTTACTCTTACTCACGCCCTTCCCCCTTTTTTCCACCCTCTTGGTTTGTCCCCCATCCTTTTACCAGGTTCATATCCAAGTCTCACCTCCACCCACCCCCTCAAACGCCCTATCCCCTCTACATGCTAGACATCTTCGCGTCTGCATCTTCCCCGCGTTCCAGATGTCCGCCGGTATGTATGTTGTTACAGGGTGGTTAACTTCGCCAGCGGCCCCTTTCCCGGGGCAGTCCCTGCTCTCCCCTGCTAGAGGGGCACCCTAATCCGTCACCCCATCCGACTTCAGAATGCATTCGTTAGGTTCAGCAACTCACCACCAACACACAACCAAATCTAAAGGATAAACGGTGCATCAACTTAGTTCCTGGTCAGCTCGCAAGTTGATTTTATCACGTCCTACATCGTCCATATGATGGGGGGCCACCTCCCATTTCATCACTCCTCAAACACCCGAGGAGCCGGCAGGCGGATTTGAACCCGGGTGGGCAGGGAGCAGAAGTCAGGCCTTAACCTCTGCCAGCCGCCTGCCTGCCAGCCGCCGGTATGTATGTCTGTTGCCCATAGGCTCCCTAGCTAATGTTCGTAATCTAAAACCTGTTCGGGTTTGCGGATCCCTTTCCCCCTCGTAATAGAGGGTAATAAATCAGAGCAGCGATCTGCGACTTGTGTTATCGTGCCCAAGTCCGCAGCCCGGGGGCCCATCCGGTCGGCCGTCAGGAACGCTGGTGGTGCAACAGCACGGTGCCCGGCCTATCCAGCCCTTCGCCCTCTCACCCGAGGTTGAGCCCTCGAGCGTCAAACCTCCGCCCGCACACCTTCCGCCGTCCCACCTTCCGCCCTCCCACCTCCTCCCCTCCCCTCCCCTCCCCTCCCCTCCCCTCCCCTGCACTCCCCTCCCCTCCCCTCCCCTCCCCGCCACATCCCTCACCGAAGAACCAGTTCTCCATGTCGTCATCCCCAGGGAAGAAGCCCCGCTGCTCCAGACACGTGTGCAGACGGGACAGCCAGTAGATGTCGTCATCGCCCTGCACCAGCTCTGGTGGCGGGTCCTGGAGGGGGGCCGGAGAGGAGGACGAGGACGAGGAGGAAATACATGCGCGCAAAGTCAAGGGGAAAAAGAACAACGTCCATAGCGGTGAGGCGGAGAGGAGGAGGAGGAGGACGGCCAGCGTCGGGGAGGAGGTTTACTTGATATTCAGGTCATACGTTTTCTCCAAAAAGGACTTATTCGGGCCTAATGGCCTAAACAGGCTATCCAGGAAGTCACATCTCCCGCACCGTGGGCGCTGCCTTCGCAACCTCCACGGGCAGATCAACCGCTGCCACTGCCGGATCACCTTCCGCCGCCTCCGCTGCCGTAGTCGTTGACGTGTACGACACTGAGGCCGTCGCTGACGCCGTCACAGCGGTAAACCCGCCCTTGGTGTCGAACAGCAAGGAGGGCTGTGGTAACGGCGGTGCAGGCGACGTCGCCGCCGCTGAGGCCGAAGCGGGCGCCGGAGGCGGAGGCAGATTTGGGATGTCGAAATTGTTGATGGCCAGGATGTCCCCGGTGTCAACTGCAGAAACGGCTGCTGCGATGGAGGCTGCGGCGGCAGCGCTGGCGGGATGCGGCGCAGCGGCGGCGGCGGACTTGAAGAGATCAGCCAGCGAGGAAAAGGCTGCGATGTGGCGGTTGGTTGGGGTAATGGCCAACGGCCAACAGTGGGGCGATGGCGGTAAAGATGTTTAAAGAAGACGCACATCCCAACGCCGCTCAAATCACGAACGCACCCTCAAATTTCAAACAAAGCCAAAGCTCTGAAAGCGGCCACATCGAGGCCCCATGGCCCTAAACCAACTCCCAACTCCCGACAGAAAACTAAGCACCCAAACCAGATTGACCCAGATCGACCCCCGGGCGTGGCCTACCCCGGAACACGACCTGACAAATATAAACAGAATTCTAACTCGAAATTAACGGTACAGGAACTTCAAAAAGGTTCGAGCATCTTATGCCATTCCTTGCCACGCACATGAGGCACGTTCGGGGAGCATCCCGGCATCCTATGAGCATCCCATCACAAGTTGTGCTGAGGCCCTTTGTTGACACACAATTTGCTTGACGACAGCTAACTAAAGCGTCCCAAGACTTTGACTTTGACTGCACACACCTGGTACATCTGGAGAACTGCTGGAGGCGCTATTTGGGGTGGGACGAGTAGAGGCGGACGGCGCCACGGGAGAGGGAGAGGGAGCCGAAGCCGCATTCCGACTGGCTGCCTGAAGGAAGGAACTTCCTGCACCAGCCACAGGACGGGATACCGTTTGGGACTGCGGAGAAGATTGCGGTGGCATTGCCGCGACCGGAGACGACGGTGAGAGCTGCGGCAGCGAGGCTGGGTGCTGCTGTACAGCACATAGGAATAAATTATGAGGAGGGAAGGCAAAAGCAGGAGCGTGGAGGGGAGCGGGTCTTGGGTTGTCGTGAGGAGCCGTCAAGGGATTTCGCTATGGTAAGGATGCGTAGTGTTTTCTTGGCGGTCTGGCTTAGACGCCTAGCTGTTTAATTTGTTTAACACTGATGGCAGCTTGTTGGAGCTGCCTTTATATGCGCCCAGCAGCAACCTCTCAGTAACTCTCCACGCACATGTCCTATATATTTGTCCCAAACAGATGTCGAATCCGGAAGGCGCTCCCCATTCTTCCCTCTTACCCTCCATGCCTTCTCCTTTCCACAAACCACAAACCTTTGTCCATCGGTGGCTATCAACACGCTCGCTACCGTAACCATCAACCCATCCCGACAGGCTGGCACTTTTCACTTGACCTCGCACCGACGCTGCGGACTTTACCTTGTGACAAGGTCTGACCAGAAGGTATCACTTGTAGGCCAGAGAGGCGTACTACCATGTCTAGCAGCACGCGCTGTTGGTCCAACAGCTTGTCCACCTGATTTCGCGCCGCAGCCAGCTCCGATAGCAAGAATCGCTCGCGGTCAATATAGGCCTGAGACACGTTGCACCATAACGAGATGGCTGGGAAGCCTCCCTTGCAGCAATACGCGGATTGCGAGGAACCCAAGCCCGTCCTTTGCGACTTGCCGGTACTGACCTGAAGCTCCGCGCTGGCGGAATGACGATCGGCTTGCTCATAGGAATCATGGTGTCCTTTGTGCTCTTTTTTTGCAAACATCGTGACGGATATAGCGCGCCCGCAAGTTCCGATGAGCATGTGAGACGCGTAGCGCTTCGGTGTGTTGCCATAAGGGGAAGCTATCCTGCATTTTTGTTTTTCGGAATGAGGAATAGCGCCAATCAGCGGTGGCCTCAACCTTAACATCGTTACTGATGTGGATATTTTCCAATGAGTACGCAGCTGCGCTATCCAAGAAATGCAGTTCAACGTAATGTTCCTCCGGAACAATTACATTCTGGACTTGGAATCTCGCTTGGAGGACCAAAAAGATTACCCGTGGTTCGTTGTTTAACCGTTAGATGCCGTATTGCAACTCTCAACCCTGACCCGATCACCACAACTTAGGCAAGCGTCCAGGCAACGGCAAATGCACCGTAACCTTGATAAACACCTGCGTATCAGCAGAGCGCCAAGGGATTGAGTCCTTGGAACCAGCCCAGTCCAAACTCGTCAGGCCGCACCCTACGTACCTACTACCCTGACCTCTTCAAGAATCGTTGCGAGGGAAAGCTGGGCACGCGAGACGCACCTCGCTCCGTTTAGCTAAAGCCATAATGAAGCAGTAATGCAGCTCAGCTGCGGCTTCATTCTCCCTTGGATCGGAGCGCGCGATGTAGGAACCAGCTAACGTGCAGGGCGCGAATACCAATCATGGTCGGCGGGGGAGGACGTATAAGTCTCGCAGCTCACATATTACCAAAGCACCGCAATGAAGGATCTTGCGGCCGTACATTCGTACAGCCAGCTGACATCTTAGCTCCCTGCCTGCCAAAGAGAAGAGGGTCAATGTGGCCATGTGTTCATTGCAAATGGCGCTTCCTTCCTTCAGTACCATCGACATGGCGACCAAAACCCAGTCTCCGAAAATATGAGCCAATGCATCCGACCAAATTTCAAAGACCAAAACCAGGCTGATGCCAAACTCCTCTTGTACGGCACGTCAGTTCCATGTTGGCAGCATCTGTCGGCATTTTGCAGCTTTCCCGACGTGACACCATGAATGCCGACAAATCATCTTTTTACCTCTCCTGAATTCCAACTAGCACCAACTACGCGAAGCTTTCCGTGCAGACCGAAACCAACACGGCGAACACGTCAAGTTGAAACAAAGCCAGCAGAACCTGCCACCCGCATCGTGCAACAGTACGGCAATGCACCTCGCTCATTATCCGCATCACCCGCCGTATACAATCCGTACGGGCACCGCACGGATCGAACCGTCTCTCGTCAGCAGCTAGCTGCGAGTTCACCAAACATGCGCGTACGACACTATCATGCGCCGCGCGTCAAAGCCTGCAACACGTGCAACTCATGCCGTACATATGCTGTCCGACGTGGCGCCACGGCATCAGTTGTCCGTCTTCTTGGTCCCGTACAACCAACAGCACCGTACAACTCCCAACTCCCAACCGCCAAACGTATGCCATAGCCAAGCCACAATGCCAGCCAGCCAGCCAACTTGCCTCATGCCCGCACCCGTATGTCTTTGATGCATGTCTTTTATACGTTATGCACCCAAATCCAACCGACAATCAGCATAACCGCCAACCGCTAAGAAGGACATTCGTTAACCGAATATCCTGTTTTGGCAACTCGCCAACTCACTCGTCCAGCTCGTCTGAAAGCAAAAGCAAAAAGATTAGCCAACATCTCTATTTGCATCCATAGATGAACCGCTGCTCTCGTGTGACACGAATATGCATGCATACACACATACATACACGCATACATACATACATACATACATACATACATACATACATACATACATACATACATACATACATACATACATACATACATACATACATACATACGTACGTACATACATACATACATACATACATACATACAAAACCTACAGAAGACACCGCAATGGCGAACATTATGAGGGCGCTTGTACCGAAACGGGAGGTTATACAGATATATGTGTGCCGTACAGACGATACCTTCGCCCCAGCTTTTGCACACGCTTCTTGCCGCACGATACAGGTACGGCTCGTCAGTCCAACAAAAGCGGCTTAGATTAATTTATTAGTCTGCAGACACCAAAACAGCGAAAACCAGGTCCCATCAAGTCCCATCGGGCGTTTCTCAAAATAGGTTTAGTTATGTTTAGTCAGTACAGCCCAAAAATACGGCAGGAAGAGCGCGCAGAAACTGATAACAACACGACAGAAAATACGTCACACACAATCTGGGAGAAAGAAAAAACCCCAGGGTGTCGCAGAAAAAACTCCTGCACACGATAAAGGTTTTAGCTGTAGCAGCAATTATTCTAAAAGCAGTTGCCGACGGTGGCAACACACTGACGTACAGACAGAAGTCTAGGGCATAGACTAGAAGCACAAGCTAGCGAAATGGACCAACAGCTATGTACGACAGTACGGCGGGATCATACTGCGACAGCGCAGCGCCGCCTTGTTATCACGCGTGCATTCTGCTACCGACCGCCAAATAACTGCATGGGCGATGTCAAGGGGGCGGCCAAAGAGAGGCACTTTCCCCCGCACCCGCCGGAGAAAGGAAACGCAGCCAGCCGGCGCTGGGACGTCTGCATAAAAACAGTTTTGCGTAAATAACTCAGAATGACCAAAATTGGATATTCCAAGGGGGAGAAACGGAGGCCCCGAAACCAAACCCGCAGACCTCTCACCCTCCTCCCTCCCTCCCCCCTCCCATCGATGTCGACTTCCCCTCCCGCGTGATCCCATTACGCCATTAACGACGGAATCTGACCGAGACAGAGAAGAACCCTTGAGCCAATTAACATGTTCCACCTCATTTTTATGCCATTTACTTTGCATCGGACTCAATGAAGTCGACACCGCAGCCTCCCTCCCTCCCTCCCCCTCCCTCCCCTCCCTCCCCTCCTCCCCCCCCCCTCCCTCCCTTCTCTCTCTCTCTCACAGACACTCTCTCTCTCTTTTCTTTCTTTCCAGCATACCAAAGGAGTACCACACGTGCTCGTCCCGCTCCGGCGTCAACCTCCTGCAAGCCGCCCTCTTC